TTGTTCATATTTTCCTTAGAACCTCCTCGTTGCTTACATACTATTTCCATGATATTCTCAATATCCTTCTGTATTACATCTCTGCTGTCTCATCTTCACCTCTTAGGAAGTTGTCCCGCATTCACTGCTATATAGCACTCTTTTCTTTGTTTATATAATGGACTATTTTCGTTACTAAGTACTTTTAGTTTTCAGAATACATCTTTTGTTATTCCAATACAATAAATAGTTAATAGTCAATGATTTTAATGCACTTAATAGACGAAAGCAAACTCAGTTCTAGACAAAATTCCACCTGCAGAATTCCAAGAATGTTTCTTAATACTTTTTAGCGTTTAGAATATATCAACTGCGATAGGAAAGTTGAAGATATGTAGAAATTGCTTTCGCATAAATTGATAGAACATCTACAGGTGTCGCTTTGAGGTGACCTCAGTTTTGCTTGCTGTCAAGAATAGCAACCCATTTCTGAAACGGAGACCAATAGATTATAATCGCGGAGATTCTCACGTGAATTCACCATAACACTCAGTTCTGGAACTCTGTTGGAGATGCGACGATGGTAAGGAGACAAAGAAGAAAAAACAAATCTAGTAAAATCTAAAAGGGTTGAACAACACATAACTGGGAAAGGCCGAAGAATGTATCGGCCGAATAATTGTGGTTAGAACAACAATGATAAAGGGAATAGCTGAAATCTCTCCGTCTCTTTTTTTTCTTTTTTCTTTTTTCTTTTTTTCTTTTTTCACATGATGCTTTTCTCTCTTTCTCTCTTTTTATCTCTTTTTTCTTCTGTTCTCTTCTTCTCCAGTCATTATTTTCTCGCTTTCATTTCCTCTTCTCTCTTTTCATTTGCGTCATTTATTATCTTTACTCCCTCTTCTCCATTTTCGTCTTTACTCCTTTTATCCTTTTCCTATCTCTCTCTTCTTTTGACATATACTTTCTCCTTCAAATAGCACACCCTTTCCTTTTTCACGATCTCTCTTTTCCAACATTTCAATGGTTTATTTGATCGCAAATATTTTCCTTTTTTGTTGATTTCTTTCTTTCTTTCTTTCTTTCTTTCTTTCTTTCTTTCTTTCTTTCTTTCTTTCTTTCTCCTTCAAGCATTTGTCCCTTTCCGAATTTGGTTTTCCTCTGTGGAATTTTGTTCTTCAGTCCTCTCTTTCTCTCACCCCATTTATTTTATTCATTCTATATACTCATTATTCTCTCTTTTAAACATCTTTCTATCAACCTTTCTTCTTCTCTCATATACACTTTCTCTGAGACATTCCACAGTTTCTCTTTCTTTCTTTCTTTCTTTCTTTTTTTCTTTCTTTCTTATTATCTCACCCTCTCTTTGTCCTTTTCTTCCAAACTAGTCTTTTCACTCTATCCCTCACACGGACACACTTTATTCTCGTTATTACCTCTCTTTCCATTCATAAATACCAATTTTCTCCCTCTATCCCCCATCTCTCTCTCTCTCTGTGTCCCTCTCTCTCTCTGTATATATCTATCTATCTATCTATCTATCTATCTATCTATCTTATACTTTTCCTCTCTCTCTCTTTCACATGAACCTATTCTCTATTCATTCATCTTTCGCCCTTTATGCCCTCTTATAAAAAGGGGCGCCTTTTCGACACATATCTCGTCTATTGTCACTCTAAAAAAGTTGGTCACATACTCTTAAATCTTTCGTGGAATTCTCCTCCCCGTCTGCACTCCACACACCTCCCTCCTTGCTTCTTCTCCTCTTTCTCCCGAAATCTTTCTTCTTCCTCTCCCCCTCTTTTTTTCTTTCTCTTCCTCTCTGCATGCCATTCAGCCCATCTCAGTAATTTTCATTAGTTCAGAAACCCCTATTCGACGTGTTTCTGGACCCTAGCCTCATTTTGGGTTTTTTTTTCTTAACCGACCTTCTTTCTCCTTTCTTTCGGAAGAAAACACTTTGAATTTTATGTTATTTTATTGTCATATTCTTTTGTTGTTTTATACATGTTGCAAATTCTACCACCATTGGATTTAAATAAAAGGTAATTTACTCCACAAAAAAGCCTCTTAACACTGACATAAATTTAATTTTTATGTTTCAAATTTAGCTTAGTTTTGACAAATTGCAAATATACTATTGAGAAGAACCCCTGCTTACGTTTAATTTTTAATGTCATATTTGCTTGAATACTGAAAATATCAGCACCATAAGAAAAGTGAATACACTTTTTTTTTGTAAATATTATCGTTTTACTGTAATAAAATCTATAGGATTTCTTAAAACGGTTATTAATTCTGAGAGCATTTCAAGGTGGCTTAACTTTCTTGAAAGATTTACTTAGCTATTAGAAAATAGACTGAGAAAAAAGCGGGAAAATAGTTATAAGGGGGTAGTTAAATCCTAGGAGTTTAATTACTTCGTTGTACATAAATATATCTAAAGATTACAATCCTGTCAAATATTCTGGTGGTACCAGGAGACTCCTGGTTTTGAGCTCTTTATCCAGCTCTCCCGGTTCGTAACTAGTGTTCTCCTGGTAAACTAGTGTTAAGCATTGCTCTTTCGCTTATTCTATCAGTTTTTATTAGATTCTCTCTATAAACAAATCGTTTAGCTTTTCTCACTAAAAGAGCTGCCCAGTAAAAAAAAAAAAAAATTCCAATTCAGTCCCCACGTGTTTTGACAACCATTTCAGGTCGAGATTTCGTTAAATTATTACAGAGGTAATATTTTTCGATAACAAATTTACAAGTGTAAAATTGGCCCGAAAGTAGTATTGGTTTAAAATCATGCCTCCTTTGGAAATAGCTGCTGTGAATTCGAATAATGATGATTTTTGGCGTTAACGTTTTGGAGATGTTTTTGAAGTCCTTCTGTTACTTGCTGCTTTTAGTAAAATCTTCCTGTTTTTCTGAAGTTATAGATCTAAATTTACAAGTTTAAAGATTTTTAGGGTGATGTGATATGGATTATCTCCCCTTATACGTATTCTGTATTTAAATAAGTCCAGCTCAGACACACTTCATTCGAAGTCGAATAAAGCTTCAGATAAGTTATATCGGCATTCGTCTTCCCACTACAATTTATTGGATTTAAAATCAACATGGAACATTGCAGGGGACCACAAACATTCTACGTCGACCCCTGACCCTAACACAGCTGCTGAGCAATGAACCCATTGGTTTTTAACGTTCGAAAACTTCGTAGAAACCACAAAAGCGCAGCATCTTCACCAACAAATAGACAAGGCTGATAACGAATTATCTGACCCCCTCTGTCTACACGATAATTTCACTCACTTTTTTACGATTAAGGTATAAACTTGCACGCAATTTACGTCAAGCCTAAAAACGAAGTTTTCGCTCGACACTCTAAAACATGAAGATGGTGAATCACTCAAGCGTTACCTGACTGAATTGAGAACACTAAGCAAAGATTGCAATTTTAAAGCAATGAATGCAGAAGAAACCCGGGACGATCATATTATGGACGCCTTTATAAATGGCCTTCGAAATGCTCAACTGAGGCAGAGAGTCTTCCAAAACAAAACCATGACGTCCTTAAAGGACCCGCAGGAGACCGGGTCGGTTGAATGACTTTGTGGTATGGATTATCGCCCTTTATACGTATCCTGTATTTAAATAAGTCCAGCTTGGACTCATTTCATTCTAAGCCGAATAAAGCTTCAGCCAAGGTATATATCTGCATTCGTCGTACTACAGTTGAGAGGCTTGACTATATCGACCAAAAAGGTGTGTTAAAAAACAACATAGGCGAAAGACGATAATCTGACAATGCGTAAAATAGTGAAAATATTCATATAAAAAATCGAACAAGCTTAGAAAATTTGAAGAGTATTTCGATAGAAATATTTCATCAGAACAAAATTGAAAATGCTTGTATTAATGAGAAAAGAAAGAGAGAATTTAAGTGATCGGGGAAGCATCTTCTTGGGAGTAGGTTTCACAATGCTACGGTTCGTGGGAAAAAAGCTACTCGATTGGAACTTACATTTCATCAATGGAATATGAAGGGATGATTCACTACAATGTGCGTGGCGTGTCTTGGCTGGTGGAACTGAGGAATGTAGTTCGTCTGAATATTTTCCATAGAAATGGCGATAGGGAAGCTAGAGACTTGCTACGTTTCGTCTCTAAGAAAAGGGCTGCATGGTTGAAAAGCACTCAACCCGTGAAAGAACGAGAGTTATGTCCCTTATTTTGAGAGTTTGAAACGCAGTAAATAAAAGAAACGGTCATTGGCCAAAATTATGCCCCTACTGCTGACCTTGTGCTGGTTTATATAAGGTGCGAACCACAAATGAACAGCCCTTTTTTTTGTTTGTATCCACCATAGGCAAACACAGCATATGGGGAAAATGTTATTACAGAACGTTGCCTAACTTGTTGTTACACCATCGGACGTTTAAAAAGGCTCTTATAAGATAATTTTCGATAATTTAATGTTTCTTATTCCTTTGTTTTATATACTTACCTGGCATATATCAAAGAGTAACTCCTAGACGAGGCTATGCCCAAGGGCAGAGTATCATCTCGGGAAAATGACTCCGTTTTTACGTGGTCTATAGGGAATTTTTGCCCGAGCCTACGAACTTTGACACCCCAGTTTAAAACTCGGCCTTGTACCACATCTTGTTGCAGGGGGCAGCGGGTAAATAATTATTCCTTTGATGCTTATAAAATTTATATGGTTTTTGTGTTTTATTTTTCTTTCATAAACACTTGGTTAACCATTTGAGCCCTGCGTTCCTGAACAATTTTAACCCTGAGCTCCCGAGTTAAAATTCGCAAATAATTGGTATGTAATGTTTCCAGGTAGATATAAAAATAGTTACAAGTGTTTACCCACCGTTTAACCGGCTGGACATTAAGTCTTTTTTTCTCTACCACTGTTCAACCGGTGGCTGGGCGTTACGTCATTTTTCTCTACCACCGTTAAAGCGGTCTTCGGGGCTCAAATGGTTAAAGCCAACTAATGTCGTTGTCAGAATACCGCATTAATTCCTCGTAATACAAAGGAAGCTGAATTGGAATGAAACTAAAGCGTGAATGAAATAAGAAGATACAAAAAAAGGAAAAAATGACTGGTAGAGATAGTGCCCAAATTTCGAAATTGCTGAGAAAGGTGGGGGATGGAGATAAATAGAGTAAAGAGAGGGAAGGAGAGAGAGAGAGAGAGAGAGAGAGAGAGAAATATCAGAATGCCAAAACAAAGGATACAAAACGAGAAAGAAAACAACGTATACAGAAAAATAGTCAGCAAGAGAGAAAAATGAATACGAGAAAGGAAACGCAAGAGAGGGGAACAGAAAGACAAGAAAGTTGGAGGCAAAATCAAAAAACAGAAATACATGGAAAGCGAACAAAGAAGTAGAAATGAAACGAGAAAGATGAAAGAAAAATAAACCAAGAAGAATAAAAAAAAAATAACTTGAAGAAAACATGAGAGAATGAGAAAGGAAAGAAGAAAGAATCAAAACCTTATAAAAAAAATAGCGAGAGATATGCGAAAAGAGAGGAATGGAGAATAATATAAAAAAATGGAAGAGAAGACGAAAAGAGAGGAAGAGTAAAAAAAGGAAGAAAATGGAAAACAAGAGTACAAAATGGAAAAGGATAGAGAGGAAAAAAGAAAGAGGAGAGAAGAAAGTAACGAAAAATGCAAAAAGAGTCGGGAATGAAAGAGAAAATAAAAAAAAGAGAGGAAGAAAGAAAACAGAATGTAAAAAAACCAAAAAGAACAAGGGACTTTTCGAACAATTAACGAAGACGCCGCCATCCAAATATTTCCGGTTGGGTAACAGGTCTCCCTGTGTTATGTGTGGAAAAAAGATAAATTAAAGGATTGAACCATAAGAGCTTCAGTGCAATGCTAAAGGAAACGGGACCCTAGAAGCAACACGCAGCGTTATCAAAAGAGATTCTAGCCATTAAAAAAATATGAGAATCCGTTTTGGGAACGAATTTCAACATCAGACAATTAATGGAGTTCGGGAAGAGATTTAAACTCAATAAATTCAAACACGGACAATAAATGAAATTTTTTATGACTAGTTCGGTATCTTTCGCTTTACTGACGGCAAGATTATCAAATTTCAAATTTATATTTGTCTATATAAATAACTACATTTATCAAAAGTATATTCAGTTTAAATACAGAAGTCATTTATTTGAACCGGCGTTTATGATCCTAGTTTGGTGCATGTCACTTCGCTGATGGTCAAATTCCAAATCTAAATTATTTGTCCATACTACTTTTATTAGCAAATATATTCATTTTAAATAGAAAAGTCATTCATTTGAACCGAACTGAATTTAGTTATTTACATAAATTTCAAATCTGAATTGTTTGTGCATTTCAACTATTACATTTATTAGAAAATTTATTTAGCTTAAATACAGAAGGCACCATAAAATTAACTTCCAATGGTTGCATATTTCGACTCTTCCTGTTATCCAAGGGTTGTTGCTAGACAAAAACGGAAATTAACCCTCGCGGCACAGATGAACTCTTCCGTTTTCTTCCAATTGGGTGTGTATGTACGCTTGCGTGCTCAAATATAGATTTTAATTCAATGAGAGTCTCAAAATCCTATTTCAACAAAATTTTAAAGAATGTTAAAGAATAAATCGATTTATTGCAGAATAATTTCCGAAAAATATTGAATATCTGTTTTTTACGGTTTAAAAATGTAAAAAAAAAAAAAAATTGTCTCAAAAAATTTATGATTTTATTGTTCAGCCCAGGGTAGGACCTGTTCTGAGGGAATGAGAGAGAAATGTGTTATTTCACCATCTTATTTCCAACTCGGTCAAAGTCTATATATGTGTGCTTGTTTGTATATTAAATTGCATAAGCACATGCGCGTCACTCACGTACGACGCAAACAAATGCATATACATTACATACGCGCCTAAAATGTTACACACAATGTTTAATGGGCAGATAATCAACTTTTTTTTATAATACAGATTTAAATATAAATATAAATATTTTGTAAGTCTCAGCTAAAAAAATCCTTTTGATTTTGTTAAAAGAAATAGTTTTAAATATACCGTGTCCTCTCAGGGCGTAAACGATCAGCTTCCTTTACTTTATTACTTGTGAGGATGTGTGGTTGATGTAATGAAAAGTAAAATCAGGTAGTGGAGTTCAAATTCAGGGCTAGTTTTTTCTTTTTTTTTTGCAAAATACCCTTAGGAAAGGCACAAATCTTCTAATTCCAGCTAAATGGTATATACAATGCGAGGATATAACGAGGAGGCACAGTCGAGTAATCGGAGAGCCGGTTTGAAGAATCGGAGAGCCGAGTTCGAATTCCAGTCGAATCCACTAATATCCTTGGGAACGGTATGAATACTCTTCTTTCCCTGCCAACTATGGGTAAATAGCAGGTCAGACCCGTTTTTTATGGCAACTGGTCTACCGCAGAAAGAAATGGCAACCTACTGCAGAAAAATCTTCCTCGTCAGTCATGTGTCGAAAGATACATGGTCACCTAAGCACATAACTGACTGACAGACTTTCCAGTCGAATCCATTACATTCACTTACGTGCTAATACTCTTGAGAAAGGTCTGAATCCTCTTCTTCCCCCAGCTATGGGTAAATAGCAGGACAGACCGGGTTCTATGGCCTTGGATGGTAACTGGTCTACCACAGAAAGAAATGGCAACCTACTACGGGAAAAATCTGCCTCACGCATGGCACATAACTGACTGACTGATACACAATTCTCTTTACACTTGGGTGGCGACTATGAAACTACGAATTATAAACTGTGGAGAAAGCAACGGGAAACAACTCCACTATATTTCCCAATAAGTCATGGCAATTCACTGACAATAAAGGAAAAAAAGGAACCGGTAGAGAGTCATTAGAATTATTTGTGAATTTACCATTATTTATTGGGACATATAATAGAGTGGTTTTGAATTCAGAATAATCCCTGATAAGGTATACTAGGTTCTCTAGCCTTGGCCAAAGAGACCATGATATGAATAATTAAGAGTGGTCTCCCCTTGTTTGGTTACTCGCCTCTTTGAGAGAGCTATTTCTGTTTACCGAGTCTATAAAAGGACACTATACGCGAACCTTGTATTCTCAGTTGAATAAAGCTTTCTTAAAACCCTACACCTGAGTACTTTTGTCATTACACCCAATCTACTCTGTTATTTAACCTATAGTAGTAAAAGCGAAACAAAAAAACATGACGTAACAATTTGGAGTAGGAACCTGGTAATATGAGTGTTGATTTGTATCTATTTAAGTTTGTCTAGCGACAACCTGGAATTGTGTGAAAATTAAGCAAGTGCATAAAGAATGTTCAAGAAAAGCTCGGATTATTGAGGAGACTTGCTGTCACTTGACTTTTATTGAAAGACCTCCACACCTTCAGATGGTATGAAAGCTCAACGAGTACAAAATACAGAATAAACAAGAGTGTCTTGAAGTATAGAGTAGATACGATACCAGTAGATCTCCAGTTGAAATACCTCCCCACATATACGATTAGTATTAAATTTTAGGGAAAAATGATGCAAATGGCAGATGGTAAGAAAAGATGGAGGAGTCTTCTTTTTCTTTTCCAAATGAATTGTTCTTCCCCTTCCAAGTCTGATAAATAGAAAAATATTGTCGTCTGATGTTTCAAGAGGATTTCTCTTGGACGAATGATTTTTTCTGTAACAAGAGAGCAGCTATTTATTTGAAAAACCTTTTATTTGCTTTCTATTTTATTCTTTCTGATTTACCGTCATTTCTCTTTGATTTCTCCCTCTCTCCCCACTCTCTTTCTCTCTCTCTCTCTTTCTTTCCATTGTCGCGCGTTTTTTTTTCTTTCTTTAAATTTCCATTCTTACTCCTTCTCCTTTATCCCCACATCTCTCACCCCATTCAATTTGCTCTAATCTCTCATCGCCTCTCCTTTCAAATCTCTTCAGTTGCTTCTCACACATTCTCTTTCTCTGTTTTCTCGACCCTCTTTCATTCCCAGTCTTTCTCTTCTCTCAGTTCTCCACTACTGTCTCTCTCTTCAATTTGCTCTCATTCACACACACACTCTCTTTTTCTTTAATTTAGTCTCATCGACAACTTTTCCATTCAATTTTCTCTTTTTCTCTCACCTTCTCGATTCTCAGTACTCAGTACACACCCTCTCTCTCTCTCTCTCTCTCTCTCTCTCTATATATATATATATATATATATATATATATATATATATATATTCTTAATCTTCTTCCATTCTCACTTTATCTCCTCTCTCAATTCTCTTCCATCTTTACTCAGCTTCCCCAATTATATCTCGTTCTCACGCTCTCTCTTTTCCTTTAAGTCTTCCCCATTCTTTTTTTTTTTTATCAGTTCTCTATTATTCTCCCATTTCTTTTTCCCGTTAACCATCTCTCTTTTCTCACAAAATTTCATCCTTATTCTCACTTTCTCTTTTCCTTTCAATTTCCTCTCGGGCTCATTCTTTCAGCAATGCCCACTTATTCTCGATCACTTTTCCTTCAATTTTATCTCATTTACTTCCCTTGTCTTTCTTATTTATGAAATAAATAAATAAAAACGAGAATGCTGAGAGTGTTTAGATAACTCTGCTTCTTAATTGTCCATTTTCTATTCGACTTACCTCCCCTAACATCGACGCCATTTTCAAGTGGTCTACAAATTAGCATTCTGATCTGATTAATGAAGAGGATAGAATATATGTGTAAAAAAAAGGGAAGAAATTGTTGAATAAAAGAAGAAATAAAAGCAAGAGTTCAAAAGCTGAAGCCAAATAAAAACGGAAATAGAAATAAAAGTAATCATGAAAACAAACAAACAAAATTGAACAAAGAACAAGAAAAAAAAAGAATGGAGGAAAAGAAGAAATTAAAGGATGATTAAATTAAACAGTTACAAAAAAATGACAAAATCCGAGTTTTGACATGATTTGTGAGTTTTCAGGAGATGAGAGACACCGCATGAAATGAAAGAATATTTATAGAGAGAGGCGAAGAGAGAGAGAGAGAGAGAGGGCGAAATGAGTGAGTGAGAGAGAAAGGCGAAGTGAGAGAGAGGGGCAAAGTGAGAACGAGAATGAGAGAGAGGCGAAGTGTTTGTGAGAGAGAGAGGTGATGTGAGAGAGAGGCGAAGTGAGAAAAAGATGCGAAGTTAGAGAGAGAGGCGAAGCGCGAGAGGGTGTGAGAGAGGCAAAATGAGAGAGATAGCGGTGAAGTGAGAGGGGGGAAGTGAGAGGCGAAATGAGAGAGAGAGAGGCGTAGTGAGAGAGAGAAGCGCAGTGAGAGTGAAAGGCGAAGTGAGAAAAAGAGAAGAGGCGAAGAGAGAGAGGCGAAGTGAGAGAGAGACAGGCGAAGTGAGAGAGAGACAGGCGAAGTGAGAGAGAGAGGCGAAGATAGATAGAGAGAAGAAGAGAGAGAGAGGGCGAGGGAAAGATGAGTATGATTTATGGGCCGTGTTTTTTTTTCCTCTTTTATTGTCCCACTAATAAAAAAGAGACATACAAGTTAACAAGTTTTAGGAGGGCGAATGGAAGTGGTCAAAAGAATAAATGTTGAGTTAGGCCTTTCCTGGTTTAATACTTTGAACTTCTCGGGCGTGGAAGAATTAAATATCGAACGCGAATTTCTCTCCTTCCCATTCTGCTGAATTCTTGTGTCTGGAGTTAAGCTTCTCTCAGTCGCGCTTACATAACATTTCCTTATCACCACCATTCCTTGTTTGGGAGAGTGATTCTGAGATGGTTTTTGTCTCGTTGCCACCAACAACTTTATAGCCCAGCCTTGTTTACGTAGTAAATTTAGACTATGATTATCATTACTGTATCTGCAAACAGTAAATTTTACTGTAGATGCAACCATGATCCAAACTATTCACCGTCCTGGGTATGACGATAAACTACATCCGACAGCAAGGTTTTTGATCAGGAGGTTTTGAGAAGCATGGGACCACATCTTAATTGCTGCTATTCCCTGGTTTACCCTGACCCGGACTGGTAGCACCTGTTAGGGTCCCAGCAATAGGCAAATAGTTAACCCCCAATTTGGGGTCAAAGCAGGATGAAAGTATAAAAATAGATTTTTATACTAAAAATACAAGCTTTACATTTAAAAAAAAATCCTACCAGCAATACATTTTTGAAGAAAAAATTATTCATAGTAAACTATCCTAAAAATCTTGTTGGAATTAAATAACCCATTGATATACCGTAAAACGAAATAAACCAAACCAGCTATTCGTAACAAGTGACAGATTCCCATGATGATTTAAGAACTTTTTTGGAGTATACGATCAATCATAGTGAGTCTCCTGCAAGTGTTCAGTCTTGACCTTGACTACAACTTCTCCAGCTATTTCAGTAGTTATGTACGTTTGATGTCCAGAACACATATAATAAATGGGATGACTACCACTCTCTTCATTGACCACAATTTGTACAACTTTTAGTCCTTTTTAACCCAATTTTGTTTCAGTAGTAATGTTACGCTGTTATTATTATTATATTAATATTTTTCATTTTCAACCGGAAAACTTGCATTGTGGGTGTCCCCCAACAAGTAGTACGACCTCAAACAAATAACACCTTTCACAGAATATTTACAATGCCAAGCAATACATACTTCTGAAGCGATGTGATATTAGGCTTTATCCAGATTGTCTCAATGTAGGCCTTTCAGTTCGGTGGTATAAACCCCAACGTCCCAATGTTAATTGACCCAATAGTGGTCTGAACGTCCAATATTCTGGCAACTTCATTTCGGATGTCAGTGTATTAAAACTTTTCAATTTCTTTCACCTTGATATAATGGTCACTAGGACCAGCCATATCGATGTGGAGGCATTTTTCTATCTATTATCATTATTATTATTTAGAAATTAGAGAAAATGAAATACAAAATGGAAGTAGTGCATTGTCTCACCATAAGCTTCCATGGCTAAAATGGTTAGGGCGTCGGCCATGAAAAACGATCTCCTGAGATATGAAATGCGAATTCAAGTTCCATACATCATGCCATGTAATTTAACGATTGGGTTTGGGGGCATTTAACCAAGAAAAATGGGATAAAATGTATCAATAGCATGAAGAAAATATTAGCCCAAACTTTAATAGTGAAAATGCATCTTGGAATTTAAATAATAAAAATATATCGCAATGATTATTTACAGCAGGGAAATTAAAAATGTGCACGAAGTCAAGATGTAGTCTTCTGCCGCTGAAATAGTTAAAATGGTGTTCATGAAAGATGCATCTCTGGGATTTAGGATACGAATTCGACTCTCGTCAGATGATACTTCTTTATTCTAATTTCACGCTACTTATTTTAACATTTACAGTGTGTCTGACCTCGAAATTTGTAATAAAATCAACATTAAGACGAAGAAAGTCGATCCCAAAGATTACTAGTGGAAATACTTGATCTTGATGTTGAAATAATTTCACATTATTAATAAGTTGTAAACAAACAGTATGGTGTGAAAATATGGAGGGGAGAAATAGCCATATAAGTAGAGGTTAGTGCTCCATCAAACCGTAGAGTTGTGCGATCAAATTGTTTTTTTTAATAATGAGAAGACGAAGAGAAAAATATATATATGAGAGAGAGAGAGAGAGAGAGAGAGAGAGAGAGAGAGAGAGAGAGAGAGAAACTTGGCGGAATATATATAGACGCTTTTGCGTTAAAAGCGTATATATATATATGTATATATATATATATATATATATATATATATATATATATATATATACACACACTTTTTCGTTAAAAACGTGAAACCTCAGGTTACAAACAACTAAGTATGTTAGCTCTATCACTGATATTGAGCGCTTTTTAATAAATACTGCACATATATAATATCTAAATAATATATATATATATATAAATCACAAGCACACATTCACACACACACATATATTCCTATTCTTGCCACACACACACACACATATATATATATATAAATTTTATTTTCTTATTGTTCAAAAATATATATATATAATTTATATATATAAATATATATAAATATATATATATAAATTTTTTATTTTCTTATTGTTCAATATATATATATATATATATATATATATATATATATGTATGTATGTGTGTAATGGTTGGCAAGCATGTCTCGCTCAGAATTATTGCGACTGAGTAGTGAGTTTGATTCTCACTGGGTACACCATATTTTCGGCCTTGTTCCACATCTGAGCTACGCTTGGAAAATCACTATATATATATATATATATATATATATATATATATATATATATATATATATATATATATATGTATGTATAAAAGCAAGAATAAGAAAATGAAATTTCGTAATAGGGTAAAAAAAAAAAGAAAAAAGAAACAAGATAGATGGCTGACAGAAGATTTAAAACCCAGTCAGTAAACGAGGAAGAGAAATTGAAAGAAAAACGTTTTCCAGAAAGAAGAGATAATTGCAGCCGATGAAAGAGCAAGAAAGGCAACTAGAAAATAAGCCAAAAAAAAAAAAAAAAAAAAAGAGAAAGCGAACAAATTGTAGAAAGACATCCCCACCGAAAAAAAAAAGAAAAGAAAAAAGAAAATGGAAGGAGAAATAAGGCACATGAAACGAAAGTAAAAATACTCATTCAAAAGAAGAAACCACAAAAAAATAAGATAACAAAAAAAAAAAAAAAATGAGGATTTGTAACGATATATGAAAGAGCGGGAACGGGAATCAAGACGAAATGGAAAGAACAGACGACAGAAAAGAAAGAAAGAATGGAAAGCAAAAAGGAGCAAAATACTGAGGCTTGAAGGATGTAAAACGTGTATGATAATGGAGTTTGGCGAAAAATGGAAAAAGGAATGATGTGACGGGGGTTGAAGTTAGTCTACAGAGGAGAAAGCCGGGAAATTTTTCCTTCAGATGTTATCGGCCATTGTATTGTGAGACGGTGAAGCACGCAAAGTTTGGTATTAAGCAGTTCTTGGGGCAAGGGGATTTTTCCGTCCTAATGATTTTTGAAACCCCCGATGCTTTCTTCTGATCTTTTGTTTTTAGCAAAGGTATAGTGGGTGGGTCGGACGGGTGAAGGAGTGAAAATAAGAGAGGGGCAGAGGTTGCCAACGAACCACTGGAGACGGGATGGGGTTGACTAGTAACACAAAATATAAGAAGGGGAAGAGAGGGTGTATGATGTCTTCTTTTTTTTTCAAGAAGCCAAAAACGGATATCAAAAAGAGGAAGAGAAGAAAGTAGAAATATTTAGGGCACTTGTAGAAGTGAGAAGAATATTAATAAGAAAAATAAATAATAAAAACGTACTATCTTTTTACAATAATAATTATGACTAGCTCCTGTCAAGGTTTACAATAGGTGCAACAGTCTGTCGATAATGTAGTTATGGGAGAGTGATTCTTAAAGTGCACATTCAAGCAAGTGCGGCTGGCTTACGGCCACATAATGTTGAAACATTGGTTCCTGTACGATCACCGAAGTTAAGCAACCTGGTCAGTACCTAGATGGGTGACCACTTGGGAATATCAGGGGTTGTAAGCTTGGATGTGCGGGTGGTGCAATGGATAATGGATCAGAATTGTTAATTGGAGAACAGAGTTCCAATTCTAGTCGGATCCGTTATATTCACTGACGTGCAAATACCCTTGGGAAAGGTGTGAATCGACTTCTCCCACCAGCTATAGGTTAATTAATAAAACTTGGGTCACTAAGCCATTATTATCTAAAAAAAAAAAATCTTACAATTTGTGAATATTTTCTGGCTTTAAATAACCTACAATAGGTTGATAAGTCGTAAAAACAAATCAATCAAACAAGTTCTACGTTAATCATCTTTTCATGTCACGCATGAAACATTTTTCAGTGTAATCTATATGGAACAGAGGGGTAAATGGATTTATGGCTTTTGCAAGAGCATCTGTGAACTCTGTCTTAGCCGATGATTGAACTCTTCCAACCGATTGTTGTTTCTTACTACATTAACTATTATGCTACTTGACAAGGGCTCTAAAGATTATATAAATTGCAATAATAGCTGATAGCTAATCGCTATTAGTTGAATAATGAAGAAAAAAAACACAAAACAACGTGCGTCGCAGACATATCTCACAGCTCGAATGACTAATGTAATAAATTCGGTTCGCCTTACCAGGACCTTACCCGGGATATGAGAACATTGTGAAACAGGAAAGTTTAAGCCTAGAATTTTTTAAACAATAATTTCATCCCATGCAAGGAGATAAAGCCACTAAGACGTAAGGTGTTACTGAGAGAGAAAGAAACTGAGAAGATGTTTTTGAAGAGTGTAGTTATGGTATTAGAAATCGTGTAAAAATCGAGATTAAATGAATTAATACTGAAGAGATAGAAATTAATTGTAAATACACAAAGCAGGTACTAACCTTAATTGAATGGAGGTATTAAAATGTACACATTTTGTCTTGGTGGATATTTTGTTCAGTACTTCAAAACTGCTTGTCCATTGTCTGGCCTTAAACAGTTAGCCGTGTATTCTGGGCACTAACACAAGGAGCATATCTGTTCCTGAGTGAAAGAGCAGGATAGCATGGTTTTGTGTGTTTTTATTTAATTTTGAAGTATGAAGCAGCCAAGGAAACTTGGGAATACTTTAAATCGGAGACTGTGTCAGTAAACTGAAGGCATTTCTAATTGAGCCTCACCTGTCAAGTTATCAAATAGATATCTAGCATCTGTCTGGTATACAGACTGGGGGACATGATGGGTATAATGGGTTTAGTATAATTAGTATACCGCAGAGTCATTGTTGGTGTTATACTTTCTCATTCAATAACAATATAATTTTAAATTGCCAGATTCCAGTTCAGTAGAAGAAAAAATTCAAATATTATAATATGACCCCTGCCTTTTTCTCACACCAGGGCATCACCTGGAATCAGAGAAAATTAGGAAACATGAAAGTTAGGGCCTTGCTTGAAACTGTGCCGAAAACATTAAAAGTAAGGTGGGTTGAATGAGGAATCTAAGACTGTGCTGGGGTTAGCAAGAATACTGAGAAAGGTGCTGGTGAGGAGACTTGATTCTACTCAGTCTTTAACGATAACTGACATCTGTTGTGAACATGCTAATACGTGGAAAAAGAAGAAGGATGAGGGGAAAGGGGGAGGAGAAAAGAAGAAGAAAAAGAAGGAGAAGGAGGAGGAGGAGGACGACGACGACGACAAAGAGAAAGTGGAGGTGGGGAGAGAAGGAGGAGGCGGACGACGCCGAGGACGATAGCGAGGAGGAGGAGGAGATGGTAAGAGTAGAAGAAGAGAAAGAATAAAAATAAGGAGGAGGAGGACAAGGAGGACGAGGAGGAGAAGAAGAAGACTGAAGAGACGACGGAGGTGGAGAGAGGAGATGATGATGAAGAAGAAGAAGAGGAGAAGGAGGGGAGAAAAAAAGGAGGAGGAGGAGGAGGGAGAGGATAACGAAGAGAAGGAAGAGGAAGAGAGAAGAAGAAAAAATGAATAAGAAAAGGAAGAGGAGGAGGCGAAGAAGAAGAAGAAGAAGAAGAAGAAGAAGAAGAAATAGTACAAATGAAAGTAGTTGCCTTAAAACAATGTAAACCATAAAGCAGACCATATTTGCTGAAAAACAAACCACCAAATGCAGGCCAAATATCAGTTGTAGTTATTGGAAGAAAACCAAAGAATATATTTGTCAGTAGATTTCCTCGGGCAACAGAGTAAAATTGAAAGCTTGCAAGATGGAAGAATATATAAACCTTACCAGAGTAAATAAAATAGGAAGTTATCAGTTGTACCCATCATTACTGGAAAAAAACCCGAAATGTCTTGCAAGCACCTTAGAATTGAAAATCAGAAGCAAAATCGAAACCATCCCGTCTAAATATTAGTAAAATCTCACAGAATAGTGGAGAGAGTGCTGGAAATTTCAGAAGCTTGCTGTCACTTTACCCCAAACCACATCTGTCAGAACTATGGTGTTAAGAAATAAATACACGATATTTAATGATAAATGAAAATGGACATGTTGTCGGATACTGAAAGTTTAATTTACAGGTTTATTGTGCTAGCGATCGGTGTTCGAAGCCAGGTAAAAGCCCGTATTTCTAAGGAAGTTCCAATTGAAAGGTTGGCACTAGACAATCTTCCTACTCTTTTCCCAAGTAGCTATGTGCTGGGATAAGCTATGATTATAACAACAACTAACTTTTTTAAATGCCATAAGCAAAAAGGACACTCATACATAACAATGGAAAGACACATTTGAGCACATAATGAGGAAAGAAGGCTTAGAAAATATAACACTCGCAGGACATATTAAAGGCAAGAAGGACAGAGGAAAGCAGTGCATAACTTACTTAACGACCGCGTGTAAATGATTAGCAGAATGGGGATTGGGAGAGATAGCGAAAAGACAAAATTTGCTAAGATTACAAAGAACAGGAAATTGTGGAGAGCTATGATCGTACACACCCTGAAGGGACACAGCACTGAGAAGATGATCTTTATTTGGCGTGCAGGTGATCATGGCTCTCCAGAGAAACCGTTTATTTATTATATGTGAATTTCCATGACTTCTTGAGAAAGATAATGAAGTGGTTTCAAGCCGCCATCTTTACGGTTGGGAATTCAGTGAAATCTTTCTCCTAGAATGGATGCCACCCAAGGCTAAAAGAGACCAGTGTCATAGATGGGCAAAGATCAACGTAACAGACGATGCGTGAATTTGAACCCCGATCGCTGATCTCACTGATAACATTTAAGATATTCACACATTTACTAAATTATTAAGGCTTAGAAATAATAATAATAATAATAATAATAGTAATAATAATAATTTTGATAAAAGATTGAAAATTGTCTTTTATGAAATAAAGTGAAAATAAACATTTGCAGCAGCAGCAGTACAAGTTAGTGTAGTTTTTTCAACACACACACACACACACACACACACAAGGGCACGTGCCTACCCACAGCACACACACAGACGCTCAAACAAACAACCAAAATCCCTTTAATACACACGTATTAGAACACACACATACATACCTGCGCAAATACACACACAAACATAAATACACACGCAGCTTCGCATAAATATACACACGCACATAAACACACATGGGAACACTCAACAAAACACACACTCACTTGCTTATAATACGCACCCAAATATTAAGTCACACACGCACACACATTCAAGAACCCGCGCGAGCGCGGACGCGCACACACATACGCTCATTGTCTTAGGCACACTCGCAATCGTATACAAAAAACATGGTCAAAATACACAAGCACGCACACTGCCACATACAAACTGAAACACATTTGTAAACATTCACGCAGACGCCCCTCATACACACCTGCGCCCAAACACACACTAGCACACACAACGAAATGCACACGCATACAAACTAATGAAATATGTAACATATTTTTACTACGTGTTATTTCTTCACGCAAATACATATGAAAGTACTTAAAACATGCACAGGCACATACATACGCAAACATATATACACATTCACACATGCACACACACACACATCTCTCCCCTCAGACATGAGAAAACACTTAAAATATATCACTGTGTTGACACATACTTGCTTTTTATGTTTACATTGTATTTAAGGGGGTTCAGAGTTGGCTTAACGGTTAACAGAACATAAAATGAAATCACCGAACAGGTTTCAAGTTCAGATTTAGGTAGTATAAGATCATTTTTTGCCTTAATCATTGGGAAAGCATGTATCTACCCTTCTTATTAGAGCAGAGTAAAAACAAGAAATGCCTCTAACCGGATACAGTCTGCCAAATACTGGTTTGGTTTCTGTCGCTTCGCTTTCAAATCTAAAATGTTTGTCCATTTAAAATAGTTTATTTATTAGAAAATATATTCAGTTTAACTACAGAGTCACAAAAAGCTCTTCAAAGAGTCGCGTATTTAGGTTTATACATTTTGTCCTGTTGTTAGTGTTTGAAAGGAAAATTCGGCCTGAGGTAAAAATGTTCATTTCAAATTTCATTGAAATTCTACATGAATGTGCGTCTGGTTGATTGAGTTTGTTTAGCGGCATATTAACACCCCTATTGGTTATTTAATGCCAAAATCTAAATATTTTGAACACATTTTTTTGACTTCAACTAAATATATACCATAAAATTGTATTACAATGTAACCCGGATATAAGAGAGGTGTCGGGACCGGAGAAGAAGTCTCTTATATCTGGGTTTCTCTTATATCCGGGTTGGGTCTAATTTATATACATTAACACAGGCTCTAATTTGGGACCAGAGAAAATCTCTCTTATATCCGGGTTTCGCTTATATCCGGGTCTCTTATATCCGGGTTACACTGTATTAGTAATTTTATTGTAAATAGGTATTGTTCGTAATTTTACTATAAGTAGGTATTTTTCGTAATTTTACTATAAGTAGGTATTGTTCGTAATTTTGTTGTAAGTGTTGTTAGTAATTTCACTATAAATATGTATTGTTGAGTAGTTTTTTTTTATATAAAAATGTATTTTTATACTTTCGTAAGGTTTTGTATTTGTTTGGGGGTTCACTATTTGCCCATAACTAGGGCCCTAACAGGTGCTAACATCCTGGGTCAGGGTTGACCTGGGAACAATAGCAATTAAGAGGTGGTTCCACGCTACTTAAAAATCTCCAATCTCTCGATCAGAGGCCTTGTTGCTGGATGTAGTAATGTGCGTGTATATTTTCATTCAATAACATACCAAAAATATTTCTACAATTTTTTTTAAAAGCTTTGAAAATTAATTCTATTTATTACCAAATAATTCATTAAAAGTTCAATAAAATTTTATAATTATCTGACTTTTTTAGGGTTAAATTTTATCTCTTATCTCTGTCTTGATAGCAATGCTCAGCCAAGTGTGAGGATTGTTCAGACTGACATGGAGGACAACGTATTATATTAATGTGTTATTTCTAACTCAGTCAAATTGTATGTATATGTGTGTACGTGTGCTTGGGTTGACTGTCACAAGCGTATATAAATCAAACATAAAACAGACATGTGCATATATATTGCAAACGTGTACACAAAGTCAAACTCGGACTGTGTGTGACTTCCAGGGAACCAGGTTTTATCTAATAATATAGAATTCTTGGAAATAAAGATGGTTATCAAAAAGTAGCATCAGTTGCCTTGAGAGACATGGCTCGATAAGCATTTCGTCTTTTCTAGCTTACTGCCATATAGTGTTGAAAAGACGGTTCACGTACGATCACCGTTTTAAGCAACGCTGAATTTGGTCATTACCTAGATGAGTGACCGCTTGGGAATACAAGGTGCTTTAAGATCGATGTGCGGCTGGTGTTAATCCGTGTGCCGAAATCCAGTTCCAGTCGGGTTCCTTATCTTCACTTACGCGCAAATATCCTATATATATAATATTGTATGAATCCATTTTCTCCCTCCCAGCTATGGGTTAATTAGTAAGACTTTTATTCCTAAATCATTATTATCTCCAACAAAATTCTTGCAATCTAAAAATATTTTCTTTAAATAACCTGCAAAGGGTTGATAAACCGTAAAAAACGAATCAATCAATCAACCAAAACCACATCGTCTTTGCCAACCGGATCTTGAAGACACTGAGAATACAATGGACGGATCATGTAAACAACGAATAAATTTTAAGGAAAATAGACACAAAAACGAATCTTAGAATTAGAATCAGAAAGTGACGATTGAAAAGTTTGGGAAACTGAAAAAAGCGGGCTTGGAGAATTTGGCACTCACAGCACATATAGAAGGCAAGATGGGTAGAGGGATAGCAAACTGACAATCGAAGCTAAGAGCAATAAAATATATAGGAAGTTGTGGAGAGATTTGAGTATTAACGTCATGAAGGAACATGGAACATAGAAGAAGAAAAGTAAGGTAAATGCGTCAAAGGTATGTGGAAATTAAATATTTAATTTTATTTATATTAACGATTTTTCTCCAATCACATACAGGACTTCGAATTTCACCAAGATCTCTCATGCATAAACCAATAATCGGTCTTAACTTGCTATTCTGGTTCATGTCATTGACGGGCGGTTTGAATTGAAAGTTACCCTTCTCAGACTGGTTGCTCTCGCATCGTTAAATGGCCCCGTCAGCACTCCCTATTTACCCATACCCAGAGAATGGATTCATGCCTTTCTTAAGTGAATTGCAAAGTGAACGCAATAACCTCGGTCGGAATTTAAATCCGGTTGCATATTCCATTTTTCGTGCCGATACCAGTTACGTCACCCGTACATCCTTCATTTTACATCAAAACGGAACCTTGGGGTCAGTTTCACAAGAGGTCATGCATGATGCATCAGTGAGATTGCGTGAAACTCAGAATAAGTGGGAAAATCGTTTGCGGGTCGGAGATGTATAGTATCCCAATAAGTAATGGCTGTCTTAGCAAACAGCTAGCCAATCCCTCTAGCAGACGCCTGCTCAGGCACATTTGTGTTTGTTCAACACCCACTGAGCCCACCTGTGGTTTATACTGCAACTATGCTGAGCAGACCTTAGTTACCATTTCTAAGAGAGAGCGCATTATCTGGCGTGATCAGCGGTCAGAACAAGCC